ATTATTACAAAATGATCTCTCCAGGCTCGACCAATGGTGCAGCACATGGACCATGGCATTCTCGGCTAATAAGAGTGCATTTATGACTGTATGATGCCGTATCCCCCCGCAGTCTTTCTTACTACATGGCAAACCTGTTACCTACAACCCCTCAGTACGTGATCTTGAAATACATTACTAACACACCTTCAAATTTTCTGAACATGTCTCTTTTCAAATCCTAAAAGCATTGGCTTCATCAATCGAGCTCTTATACTTCCCGAATCTAAGTTGCTTTCCTACCTCTCCTTCTTAAGACCATGCCTAGAATATTGTCCAATCATATTTTTAATACCCGTAAGAGCGATAAAATAGCGTTGGAAAATGTCCAGCGTTCTTTTACCAAACACTTACTAGGATATACTTCCCCGCTTAACTATAAGGATCGGTGCGCCATCCTCATAGTAGAACCCCTATGGCTACGTAGCATGAAACTAAACCTCTGCTTACTACACAAGATAATCCACCACCGAATATCTTCTTCATTGAGTGCTCTGAGCACATTTTCGACACCCGCATATTCCTTGCGTAACAGTAGATCCCCGCTATCGATTCCTAGGAATCGCCTCTCTCTTCGATCAAAATTCTTCCTGATAAGAAATGCATTGCTATGTAATCTGCTTCCCCCTGCGATGCGCGACTGCGAATCTGTGATAAAATTCAAAATGCTGCTCTAGCACTTTTTAAAGGTGGAAAATGCGCTTTCCATAACAGGTGTGAACCTTCGAAATGAAGAGGGATTTCAGATAGGTTCAAACTATTAATAAGCGATCAAATAAGCAAATAAAAGCTGTAAAACCCTCAAAGTGATTCCAAAACAACTTGAAAACAAGAGCCAAGTGTTACTGTGAGCGTAATTCAACAAATCTGAATTGAAGAAAATGAGCCTGGGTAAGAATAGCACGGTCACCATCACGCTGCACATGAACGAGCCAAATGTGAGCGCTCAAATCGCGATTAAAACAAGTAGGGTAAAAATTGAAGCAGATAAACAAACGAAGTCAAATGGTAGGATTCATGTGCAAATATACAAGGGGAGTGGAACGTCAAATGTCTATATGTATATGAGGAGGAAGGTGTTTGGTGAATGGAAAGTAAAATTCACGAAATGTGGAACCGAGATGGAATGACTGGGCTTTACAGGAAGGATTTTCACAGATTGATCATTACACTCATCAGTACATGGATTCAACTTCAAAGCTGGATCTGTGGAACACAATTCAGTCCGAAACATACTTTTACAATTATTGTGACCTTACATCCAGTAAGCAACATGTTTCTCGAATCATTCTCACTCAACTCAATCGGTCCTTCTGCGTGGCATACGCTAACCAGATAGCTGTGTCCGCTTTCGCAACAAATTCTTCACAGTACACGGAATCAGTTTCAAAGCTGGATCTGTGGAATTCAAAATTCTGGCGCGCACTCTCAGAA